TCAGCATTCAAGCTGACTGTATATAATACAAAAGGGACTTTGACAATGAACTTGGGTTTTACCCACTGGGATGTAGGCTAAGACCAGACTGTACCTTTGCTCAGTTTCTCCAGAAAGCTGAAGTTTAGAAATGATTATCAGTATGGAGTTGGGTCTTAATTTAAGCCACACTATATCTTTACATTGACTGAACTCTAAACAGTTTAGCCTTCAGTCCTAAAGCAATTACACAGGTACTTTGGAATTTAGTTTCAAATTTTGACTGATGAAAGTTTCTGAAACTGAGAAATTTTATTTGCTGATAGCCAAACCTCATAATTGTCTCCAACTTCTTCAACCTAAGAACCCAAAAGAACAAGAACCAAACGACAAAACAAGCACACGTGCGCACATACAAACACACACACACACACACACACACACACACACACACTGAAAGAGGAAGAGGCAAGCCAAAAATACAACAGGATTTCTTAAGAAATTTTTGTTTTTATGTTTCAAAAAATTATTCTATATATTTTAAAAGAAAACAATTTTTGCAAGTCACTTCCAAGGCTTCTGAAGAGCTGCCTTCTAAACTATGCAAGTAAAAATAAGGATGACTATGTGTAAAACATAGCAAAACCCTCAGTAAATGCTTAACAATAAATGTTAAATAATAACAGTTACATCACTAACTTTAGACCTTCTAAAGTTATATAGATTTGAGTTGAAGTGATCATTTTTTCCACCAATAATTAAATCAGAGGATCCAGACAGTAAAGGGGCCTGTTCCTCACAGTACACCAGGAGATTATGGATCTCTTTTATGGGCCAGCATGAAAACACCCCGTCTATCAGTAGACTATTTCTTTCACAACAACCAGAGAACTGGTGATGCTGGGAGGCATCCTCTCTTGAGAAAAGATGCCCTTCCATTTGGGTAGCTAGCCCATCATGAGCTGCTATACCTTTCCCCTTTTCTGAGTAGCTCAATTTCATCAATTTCAACATCAAGTAGTCTATCCAAGTGCCTCAGCCTAACATTATTAAGGCTGCACAGGAAGTTCCATATTCCATTAACAATCATGTAAGAAATTTAAAAAGCAGATGCCTTCAATAGACTGATTCAAGCAGCAGGATCTCACAATATGGCAAGTAGCATATTTGATACTCTTAGGGTTCAGATTAAGAAATGAATGCAGGTTCACTGATAAAACAAGGCACAAATATATATTCACATGAACCATATTGCACTTAAGGATAGTAATTTAAATAGGTAATGGCAATATCCTAATGCCCAAAGTGCCACCTTCCATGAGAGAGGAGACAAGTTTCTGAACTACATTCTCTGGCATGTAGTAGGAAATAGAATGTCAGAGTTCTTGTCAGTAATTTCAGAAAGAGATGAAACCATCTGAGATGCTTTTTAAAGAGTAAAACAGAAAATTTTCATGTGGCCAAAGACATACAAGTAGCAATAGTGTAGAAGTATTTAGTTTGGGGAAAGCTTCTTAGTTATAAGATCTTTCTTATTGTTTATTATTATGTAGTTCTTCACTGAACATGACCACAAGATTAACTTGGCACCTTTGTCCAGATTATAAAACTGGGGGCCAGCAGGTGGCGCAGTGGTTAAGGTGCTGGACTCCCACATGGCCATTTGTGGTTCAAGTTCTGGACTCAGCAGCTTCAGACTCAAACCAGGTTCGTGTAATTGCATACCCAAAATCCTGAAAGGAGAATGGAGGAGAAGGGCTTGCAGTATGGCCATCTCCTCGTGGAGGTTGATTTCTTACTTTCTTTCTCTCCATGTCTCTCTGTCTCTCTGATGAGCACACCCTATAGCAAAAAATCTCTTTAAAAAACATAATAATAAAATGATTGCAAAACCTTGGTTTCATCACATCATTAGTGTTTCATTTTGTCTCAATGAGAATTAGAGAGTAAATGAGCATATAAAACAGACACAAATGCATATAATATTTTTAAATGCACTGCTATTTCCCATTTCCTCCAGCAGAGGTCAGAAAATAACAATGTAAGAATATGAAAATCTATAAATCAAGACAATATTTTAGAGCAATTTTCTCAGGATAGGATTATAGAGGGTTTTTTTTTCATTGTTTTTCTTTTTCCATATTTTGTAATTATAATTGACAGTAAACATGCTTTATTTTTGTAATAATTAGAAAACAATTGCATTTTTAAATTTTATAGAGTAGTGTTGGCATATGTATTTCACCCAGAGATATTGCTTAATTACTTGTATTTTCTTATCTGCACATGGCTTATTGAAAATAGTCTAAGGCAGCAATATATTTGGCCATCACTGAGAAATTACTTGTGTAACATTGTTTCTGCAATGGATGACTGTGAGCAATCTCTCTCAAACAAGGGTCTAAATGTCATTTGTTAAGATTATGAAGGGGACAGGAACCAGCAGTTAGTGTAATGGCTATGTCGCTGGACTCCCACGTAGTTGACCGTGGTTCGCGTCCCGGACCCGGTGGCTTAAAACTCATGCCGGGCGCGTGTGCATGCGTGCCCAGGATCCCGAGAGGAGAATGGAGGAGAAGGGATTGCAGCGTGACCATCCCCCCTGGGAGGTGATTTTTCACTTTCTGTCTCTGTCTCTCTCTGTCTGTCTGGCAAGCGCACGCGCCCTGTAGCATAAACCTCTCCAAAAATAATAATAATAATAATAATAATAATAATAATAATAATAATAATAATAATAATAATAATAATAATAATAATAATAATAATAATAATAATAATAATAATAATAATAATAATAATAATAATAATAATAATAATAATAATAATAATAATAATAATAAAGATTATGAAGGGGAGGGAGCAACAGATGGCGGAATGGCTATGTCGCTAGACTCCCATGTAGTTGATCATGGTTCGAGTCCCAGACCTGGTGGCTTAAACTCATGCCAGGTGCGTGTGCATGCATGCCCAAGATCCCAAGAGGAGGATGGAGGAGAAGGGGCTGCAATGTGGCCATCCCTGCCGGAGGCTGATTTCTCGCTTTCTTTCTGTCTCTCTGTCTTTCTGTCTTTCTGGCAAACACACGCACCCTATAGCAAAATTCTCTCAAAAAAAAAATTATGAAGGGGATAAAAAAAGCAAGCATCCTGGACATAGCTCTGAACTGACAAAAATTCCTGCACACGCATAGACAGAAAGGTGAATATAATCTCTTTTTTTCTGGCAAAATCTAGGAGATTCTAGTGTTCTGAGAAGGCAATCTCTGCATGTCTTAGGGATAGAATAAAGAAGGACTAAGAAATCAGTCAACATAGCCTACATTTAAAAAAGCAAAGAAACCAACAGAAGCTGTTTACCAAGAACTGCTGATTGATGTTCAACAAATCACACTCTCACCATGCTACATTTTCATTTCTAACTCATGGGTCTCATTTTCTACTAGAGGCATATAGAAGCAAAGGTTTATAAAACAAAATCTGAAGATCAATCAGAACACTAATTTATAACTTAAAACTTTTACCCACATTATGCCAAATTAAATAGATACTTAGTTATTGATTTATTAAGTTTCTCATAATATATGGTCTTTTATCTGTCCTTCTTGATATTATCACCCACAAATAATATAAAAATATCAAATCTGATAATATCAAAGTCATCATGTAAATAATAATTGCTAGAGGTTTCTTCTGTCTTTTCCTACCAGTGAGAGATATGTCTTGATACTGCTTACTTCCACCTATAGGGCATGTAAGGAAGTAGGAGGAAACACTGAAATTCAAAACATCTGCTACTTCTGTCAGTTCTTCTGTGGGACTCTGAGATGGGGCTCATAGTAGGTGACTCTGCTGGGCAGTAAATATCAGTAACTTTTTTTTTAATTGCCAGAAAGTACATGCACTTGTGTGTAAGAGAAAGACACACACAAATAGGCAGAATCCCCCTATGTGGCATGATTCCACTGAAATTCTTTTTTTCCTCAGTTTCTCCATGTCAGGATTTAGGGCACACATGCACATGTATCCTGAATTTTTTTTTCCAAGCTGCCAGGACTAGGATTTGAACCATGGTCAGCCATGTGATATCCAGTTCCCTATGCACAGCATTTAATCACGTGAAGAGGGTGTGAAATCCAATAACGTGGTGGGAGATTGGAAACCAAAGGGAAATGTAACCAGTGAGAAATCTCCAAAGGTACTTTGGTCTAAGGGGGTATTAAAATGTCAAGTTTTCAGTTCTAAGCTGTTTGTGTTTCTGCAATTTAAAAGCCTTCTGTTGTTCCAAACTCTAGTCATGTCTGCTGCACACAAATGCTTGGGGTGGTCTGGGGAAAATCAAGACCAAAAGATGAGTTTGAACTGAGGTTGGCATAGAGCAAAGAAAGGGAACAAAAGAGTCATGAGCCATGAGATGTGAGTGAGCATAAGGGCTGTGAAAGCAAGAATCATCAACCACAGATGATCATAGGAATGAAAGACCCAGTAAATTCACAGAAATCTTGGGGAGATCAGTGGAGCTTTCTCACAAAAGATGGGATTTGAGATTTGAGCCACTTTTATGTCTCCAAAGAGTAATGTTAGCTGATATATAGGACACAATGATAAAAATTCAAAACAGTCCTTCAGATATATTGCAAATAGTCTTTACAAAGTAAGTCTAGGACAGCATTTGTGAAATTTTACAGAGGTTTTCGTATAACATTAAAAGTCCCAGGTATTTTAAGAGATATTTAACAAATAAAATCATAAATGCTTTTTCTCTATTTGTTTTGTTAAATATTTTACCAAATGGGCATTATTACTTTGTCTATAGTAGGTTTATCCTCAGTAGCTTTATAATATCTACCTAATTTCCCTTAGATAAAAGTAAAAACATTCTTAGAGTGTCTAAAATAAACTTATAATTCACATACATCACCCAGAAATACAGAAGATTGTCTGAGAGAATGATCTGGAGCTCACACAGGAAAATACCCATAGAGAAACGTTTAAATCCTTCAAAGTTTGACCCTAACTTACCTTTACATGGTGGATCAGACGCTCAACTTCATTTACTTTATAGGTCTCCAATCCCAGCTCCTTGGCTAATCTTAAGATTCGATTTTGAGTTGGTCCAACATAGGATCCTCCAAGGTCCACATATTTAACCTTTTGGTTCTGTTTTCCCATAGTAAAGAAAATAAAAGCAAATATTTGTGAAAATATTGCTAAAGTTAGAAAAGACAGTCCTGAAATAAGAAAAATGACATTTCACAGGTGCTATGGTTTGAATGCCTCCTCCACCCCACCACCCACCCCCACCAATTCATTTGTTGGGATTTGGTTGTGATAAAATGAAGAGGGTGAAAACATAATCTGACCATGGTGTGGAAGATGAAGCCTTTGGGAGAAGATTAGGATTATGGGTTTTATAAAGTGAGGAAATGAGATCAAAACAGAGACACATGGACAAAGATGCATGCTCTTTTGCTTTCCTCCATGTTATGAGGCACCAGGTATGACCCCTGGACCTTCAGACTCTGAACTCTGACGTGAATAAACCTTTATTCTCTTAAATTGCCCACACTCAGGTATTTTCTGTTATTAACAACAGAATGGACTATGACAACAAGCTATAGAAACATCTTCAGGTATATCCATGGAAAAATGGATTCTGTTCTCAACTCTACTTCATTCACACAACTTAATAGGTATCAAATCAATCTTCCGTTTAAAGCAAAATGGACTCAATGCTGAATAAGCAAGAGGCTTTTCAACTCATCATTCACAATATAACAGGATATGGTTTGATCTTTAGTGCCCTGAATTTGTAAGCTTTAAATTGTTGCTGAATCTCTGTACTCGTTAGACTAATTTTCTCTGTGTTCTCTAATAATCTCTGTGTTCATTAGACTAATTTTGAGAGACCAAATGCTAAGAAGAAACAAAAAAGGCGAGAAAGGACATTTTACTTTTTATACGGTTTGCTAATCCAGACATCTGAAAGCACTAACAGATGTTCGGTCATCACATGAACCGTGAAACTGCTTTTATGTTTAAGGGTATTTTTGTTCCATATTTTGAATCAACTTCATTTGAATCAACTTTGAATAAGAAATAAATAGAATACCTCTCTATCTCTGAATATATCCGAGTAAAACCTGGTACTTTTCAGTCATGGACATCAGAAATCCTCTTCCTTTGTTTTTGATTTTTGATTATTTATTTTCTATTTCTCCATTCAGTCTCCCACACATCAAAATTAACATAATTTCCACAAGGTTAAAGATCTCTGTTTTATTCATTAATGTATTTCAAACACCTATAATAGTTGCTAATAAATTTTCTGAATAAATGAAGGGTGTTTCTTTTTTAATTAAGCAGTTAATAAAACTAAACCAACCTCTTGTATGTAAAGAGCACTCTTATTTTGTAGGGAATGTGAAGATTTCAAGAGCTGGAGGAGATAAGATGTACACAGTAAGAACCTGTAAACCACATGCAATAATTGTCCACATGTGCAACAGATAAGTGATTATTATCACACAAGAAAGGCAAGTTATCTATTTTTTTTTTTTGGAGAGATTTTCACTGTAGGGCGCGTGCGCTCGCCAGACAGACAGAGAGAGACATAGAGACAGAAAGCAAGAAATCATCCCCCAGGGGGGATGGTCACACCACAATCCCTTCTCCTCCATTCTCCTCTCGGGATCTTGGGCACGCACACACACGCGCCCGGCGTGAGTTTTAAGCCACCGGGCCAGGGACACAAACCACGGTCGACTACGTGGGAATCCAGCAACATAACCATTACGCTAACTGCTGGTTCCCGCAAGTTATCTTTTTTTGAGAGGAGGAGAGACAGAGAAAGGAAGGAGCAAGAGAAGGACAGGTATTTTTGACAGAGTTTCAAAGTTGTGATTTTTTGTCCCAGTCTGTCAGTTAATTAGACGTATAATGACATACCACCATGCCCAACCTATTTAGGTTGGTCTAGAATCAGCCTGGGCCTCCCACGTGGTCTGTTTCACACAGTGATGCCCTATCCTTTGCATCGCTGTGACTGGCCTAGCAAGTAGCTTTTGATTGGAATAAGAGAGGATGATATCCTGGACATATGTGAACTAGAATTTGGAAGATGGGCAAGGTCTTGCCATGTGACAATGGTAAAGAGAAATATTCAGGACATATAATGGCAAAAACTGGCTAGGAGACAGAAAGGGCTAGGATAAGTTAAGAGACCTGCATGAAATCACAAATAACTAGGGTATAGAGTATACTCAGGATCAATTACAGATAAACTTTTAGTCAGAAAGCTTCTGGTTCTCAAGACTGGGTGAGATGCCCTCTTTAGTTTCCTGTGGCACCATTCCAACAAGGCATCCATCCCCCATTGAAGCACTCCTCTTGATGGGTTGTAATTAGGCAAATACAACAGGCACTGTACACCAGAAATTATGAACCCCTTGGAGCAAGATCCTGCTTTGCTGATCACTTTGCTTGACATATAGTAGGTACTCAGTAGATATTGATTGAGAACAAATTCAATTGCTGGAGGAGAAGACTCACAGTAAACAATAAATACAAAATATCAGATATAACATCTATCTTTTCAAAAGATGAGCTGCAAGTTAGAATTTTCTATGACTTATCTATTAGAAAATGGAAATAGCCACTTAAATCTTGAATGTATGGAAGTAGGGCATTTCCTTGAAAAGAAAGTTGCTTTACTTGACTCTGTGTTGAACAGAATATCATTAATTTTATGTAAGAGTGTCAGAATTTAAACAATTAACTAGCAACTGAACTAAGAGTACTTATAAAATGATAAAAATTGATTTAAAAATTATAACAATAAGGTGGAAGAAAAATTAGGAAAATTAGGCATGTAAAAATTCAGTTTGTGTGAACAAAAGGAAAGGTATCTCATGTTTAGGGATTGGAAAAATTACTAATGTTAAAATGCTCATACTACCCAAAATAATCTGAAGATTTAACACAATCTCTATCAAAGTTCCAATGTCATTTTTCACACACACAAAAATTTTAAATCCTTAAATTCACATGGAACCACTAAAGACCATGAATGGCCAAAACAATCTTGAGCAAATAGAACAAAGCTGAAACATCATGCTACCCAATATTAAAATATATGGGAATTGTAATCAAAGATGTATGGTACTGAGACCAGCAATTAGCATAATGGCTATGTCGCTGGACTCCCTTGTAGTCGACTGTGGTTTGAGTCCCGAACCTGGTGACTTAAACTCACGCCGGGCGCATGTGTGTGCATGCCCAAGATCCCGAGAGGAGAATGGAGGAGAAGGGATTGCAGCATGTCCATCCCCCCGGGGGGTGATTTATCATTTTCTGTCTCTCTGTCTCTCTCTGTCATTCTGGTGAGTGCACATGTCCTATAGCAAAAACCTCTCAAAAAAAAAAAAAAAAAAGCTGTATGGTACTGACATAAAAATGGAGGCTCACCAACCAGTAGAAAAGATAAAAATCCCAGAAATAAAACCGTGCATTTATAGTCAATTATATTTAGCAAAGATGTAAAAAAAATACACAATAAAGAAAGGGCAGTCTATTAAAGAAATAGTGCTGGGAAAGCTGGTTATTTATGTGCAAAAGAATGAAATTAGACCTTTATCTTACATCATGTACAAAAATCAACTTAAAATGGATGAAAAACTAAAATGTAAAACCTGAAACTAAAACTACTGGGGAAAAAAAAGACATAAGGGGGAAGCTCTATAACATTGGTCCGGGCAAGAACCTTTTACATATCACTCTGAAAGCTCAGGCAACAAAAGCAAAAATAGACAAATTAGATTACATAAAACCAAAAAGCTTCTGGAAAAAAAGAAAGAAAGTAAAATCGCACAACAATTAGCAAAGTGAAGAGATAACCCACAGAATGAGAAAACATATTTGTAGACTATGCATATGATAAGGAGCTAGTATCCAACATATAAACTATAAGGAACTCAAACAAACTGATACTAAGAAAACAAATAGCCTTATTAAAAAATAGGCAAAGGTCAAAACAGACAGTTCTCAAAAACAGACATACAAATGACCAATGGGCACATGAAAAGAAAAATGCTCAGCATCATTAGAAAAATGCAAATTAATCCACTATAAGATATCATGTCTTACCTGTTAGAATGGCCTTTATCAAAAAGATAATGATAGCAAGCATTAAAAAGGGTGCAGAGCAAAGAAAAGGAATGTTGCTGGGAACGTAAATTAGTGCCGTCATTATGGAAAACAGTATGAAGGATCCTCAAAAATAATAAAACTAGGGAACCAGCAGTTAGCGTAATGGCTATGTCGCTGGACTTCCACGTAGTCGACCGCGGTTCGCGTCTCGGACCCGGTGGCTTAAATCTCACGCAGGGCGCGCGTGCGTGCGTGCCCAAGATCCCGAGAGGAGAATGGAGGAGAAGGGATTGCGGCGTGACCATCCCCCCTGGGGGGTGATTTCTCGCTTTCTGTCTCTATGTCTCTGTCTGTCTGGCGAGCGCACGCGCCCTATAGCGAAAACCTCCCCCCCCAAAATAAAAATAATAATAAAACTAGAACTACCATATGATCCCACAATTCCACTGCCTGGAATACAGTATATCTAAAGAAATTTAAATCAATATTCAGGAGGAATAGCTGTACTCTCATGTTCATTGCAGCATCATTTACAATAGACAAGATAAAGAATTAATTTAAGTATCCATCAACAGATGAATAAATATAGAAAATGTGCATATGTACACAATGGTGTATTATTCAGCCTTAAATAAGAATGAAATTTCGTCATTTGGGACAATATGGATGAATCTAGATGAAAGTACACTAAAATGAAATAAACCAGGTACCAAAAGACAAATATCACATGATCTCACTTATAAGTGAAGTCTAATGAATTAATCGAAGTAGAGGGTAGAATAATGGTTACCAGAGATTGGGAAGGGGTAAGGGGCTGGAAAAGGAAGCAAGGGAATGGGGAGTTATTGGTCAAAGGGTATTAAGTTGAGCTAGAGAGAAGGAATATGTTTTGAGATCTATTTTAAAATAGGGTAACTAGTTAATAATAAGAGTTTGTTGTATATATCAAAATAACTAAGAGAACATTTTAAATGTGCTATCAGAGAAAATGTCAAGTGAGGTGAATGATATGTTATTTACCTTGATTTAACCACTACACATTGAATACATGTATCAGAACATCACATTATATTCCATAAATGTAATAATACAATTATAATCTGTCAATTAATATAAATTTAAAGATAAACAGATGAAAAAAATTTTAAAAAGCTTAATTTGTTTGGTTGGGAAAATTGTGTTGGTATTAGAAAAGCCTCAAAGTCAGGGGTGGAAAGTACAAAGAATTGTGATATTTTTCTTTCTACATCATACACACACACACACACACACACACACACACCTATTTCCCTTTTCCTCAATCCTAACTCTATATGAGATGAAAAAGTAAAGGGGGGAGAGCAGAAGAAAATAGTTAAACGAAAGGCAAACTGGAGAGACTACAAAGAATGTTTCAGAGTAATTTTTACCCTCTCAGAAAGTGTCAAATGAAATGGAAGACTTTCAAAGAAAAACAAAAACAGCAACAAAACCCAAACTCAGTTTCAGCCCACTTTTTTCCACCCCATCCTTGACGTCTTACCCTCAAGGTGTACGTCCTGCCTCCCACGCGGTCCCGGGCTTCCAGAACAACCACATTCAAGCCACAGTCATGCAGAAGTTTTGCTGCTGCCATACCTGGGAGGAAATGAAATAAGACATCAGGATCAAATACTTCACAGGACTTCAAATTTATCCTGCTAACAGCCAATGAAAAAAGTTCATGTAGGTTCCCACACATGGTCTACTGTTACATTCAATTTACAAGTGGGTAGGGTTTCTCAACAGAGACCCAGAGTCCAAACCTGGAAACCCCAGTAATATTTCTAGAAAGAACAAAAAGGACTCCATATTTGGTAAACGTCTGAAATTAAAAAAAAAAAAAAAATCCTCAGTCATTAACCAAAGTTCTATCTTAAATTGCATGTCTGCCAACATAAATGAAAACACAAGGCAACATTCAAGAGAAATGCATGAAATTCAGCAGACAAGGGATCAGGTCTAGCCACTTCATTTCCTGGGTAAATCTGAAAAACCAGTAAACTGGGAAGAGTGTCTTCAAAACATGTGTAAGAACCTGGGATTTATGGTTAATATTCGACTTTTGGAAGCTGACACAAAGTTTCAAAACCAGGGACATAAAATTTGACCCTTTTTGTACCCTAATTTCCCAAAGTGATCCACCAGTGAAGAATGAAGTGATTCCATGAAGGCACCCATTGTATTACTAATTTAGCCAAAAAAAAAAAAAAACAAAAAACAAAAACAAAAAAACAACAACAACTTATTGAGAGTTCATTATATTCTTGCCACTCCATAGCTAGTTTTAGAAAAACAGTTTTACTTAGATAAATTTACATACAATAAATTTTACACATTTAGTGTAGAGTTCAGTAAGTGTTGACAAAGTACAAAGCTTGAATGGTGTTTGTGTATGTAATTTTTGGTACTAATATATCCTGGATATAGTTTTTGGTCTCAGGGTTCTTAAAAATCCTACATCTTTAAAACCACTCCTATAGAATTTAGCCAGAGTTTTATCAAACGAAAGCAAAGAAATGCGAAAGTGCTGTTATGTCTAACAAATAAATAAAACAGCTTCTATCGTGTCTTTCAAAAATTATAGTTCTCAGGACCAGCAGTTAGAGTAATGGCTATGTCACTGGACTCCCACGTAGAGAGTTTTTTATTTTTTATGTGTGTGTTGCTATTGTAAATGGAATTGTTTTCTTGATCTCTTTCTCAGCCTATTCGTTAGTGACCATTTTGTAAGTGTACCTCCAAATAATCAGTACAGTGACTTTCAAAAGTGCAAAGTAATGATAAATGTTGGAGATGGTGGATATTTTGTATTTCCTTGATTTGATGATCACACATTGTATATATGCTTTGAAAAACCACATCATACCCCACAACAATGTATAACTATTACACGTAACTTACAAATTACAGTAAAAAAATTATTAAAAATTATCGTTTAGTGACTTGTAGATATCTCTAGTGGAAAAAAAGATTTTTGCAAAAATGGCTGATACCTATATACTCATAATGCTCATGACAGTTGAGCCGCTGTTCTAAATGTTTTAATATATTAAACCAATGAACTCATACAATAACCCAATGAGATAAAGAACTACTGATAGTCCCATTTTATGAGACTGAGCAAACTGAAGCACAAAGAGGTGTCCAAGGTCACATAAGAAGGTGGCAGAGCTAGACAGCAGAGCTAGTTGGCTCCAATGTCTATGTTAGCAACCACTATACTACACTGCCTTCCATGAGGACTGATGGACATCCTCCTTGTTGATCAAACCTCCCAGTTTTTGCTACAGGGAGAAATTGCATTTCAAAAGATATCTGTCACTTTATTTGGATCAACATGTTTTGAAAACACACATATTTATTTTATAAGAATCCATAAAACACAAAATATGAGCCCACATTAGAAACCACAATGAAAAGCTAAGCCTTCAGTCACTGTCTATCAGAGATCTTAAAAGGAAAAAAAATTTTTTTAGAAAGGCTGATTTGACATTTCATTATTTAAGTTAATCCATCTTCCCATCCCTGTCCCTAGGGGCAAGGCCAATGCTTGCAGATAGTGGAATAATGGTCCCAAAGTCCACCACCCCCATGCAGTGCACACAAGCACATTGCACAACCCTGGGTTAGAAATACAGGCCTTGAATTTTTAACTCTGGTTTCCTAATTTTATCTCCATAAAGGGAAAAAAAACCCACTTCTGTTTAAATTCAGAATTACAGATAATTCAATGACATTTCTCTTATCAAACATCACTTCAACAAATGAAATAACATGTAACCATAGTAACAGCTGTTATCAGCAAGTTCAGATAAATTGATGGAGCATGCTGAGGCTTAAACAAAAGGTTTCAGAAGGAAATACATCACTCATACACTAGCATACACTGAAATATTTTATATTCAACAAAAGGTACTTTCTATTAGTGCAGTTACCAATTAAAATCTGATGCTAAGCATAAATAGGTATTAAAACAAATTAGGGGCTTATCAGACCACTGAATGGAGTTCTCTATGCTTATATGCCTTAAAAAACTATAAATAGACATATACAACAAACTGCTATTAACTATAGTTACTCTACTGTGCCTCTGTATTCTAGAACTCTTTCCTCTATTTTCTATTAGTGCAGTTACCAATTAAAATCTGATGCTAAGCATAAATAGGTATTAAAACAAATTAGGGGCTTATCAGACCACTGAATGGAGTTCTCTATGCTTATATGCCTTAAAAAACTATAAATAGACATATACAACAAACTGCTATTAACTATAGTTACTCTACTGTGCCTCTGTATTCTAGAACTCTTTCCTCTTATCTAATTGAAATTTCCTGTCTCTTAAGCAAATTTCCCTATCCTTCCCCCCACAGCACAAAGTAATGATAAAATTTGGACATCCTAGATGTATTCGTCATCCTGATCTGATCATTACACATTGTATGCATGCATCGAAAATAATACACTATCTCCCATAAATACATACAATAATTATATATCAATTAAAATTATGGAGCCAGCAGGTGGAGTGTTGGTTAAGGTGCTGGCTGAACTCTCACATGACCCGCCATGGTTCAAGTGCCAGACTTGGTGGCTTGAAAATCACACAGGACACATGTGGGTATGTGCCCAAAATCCCAGGAGAGATTGGAAGAAAAGGAACTGCAGTCTGATCATCCTCCTTGAGGGGTGATTTCTCACTTTCCTTCTCACTGTCTCTTTCCAGAGAATGCACGCATCTTCTGGCAAAAACCTTAAAACAAAAGAAAATTATAGAAAAAAATTTACAAATAGAAAATGACTATGTCGCTGAACTCCCATGTAGCCGACTGTGGTTCGAGTCCCGGACCCA